GGGGGGGAGATAGAAGAACTAGAATTTTTTGTCCAAAAATTGGATGATTTATAGTGCCATGTGACAAGGAGCGTTGTTATGGTGCAGCATTTAATGGTTTGCAATGCTCGGTTGCACACGACCTTTTTCTGAGACGTTCCAAGATAGCTCAAAAACCAGTTACGCAAAACGGAAACCTAATACTCACCAAGTAACTCGAGAAGGTTAAAACTCATACTTGCTCATACTGAAGGTTTATGATGAGTCGACCTTGACGATCTGTATAGAGAGAGCTCGTAATATTGCTGCTCATTACTTTTCTGCCGGACTTTATATATGATATTGTTATGCAGAAGAAATCAGCTGCTTAATTCATGTTCATTTTTTCAGATGTTTCCTTCTATATTCTATTCTATATTCTTGAAGTGACAATGGATTTTAATATACATTCGCAAGACAACGATTCGCGAGAAGTTGTAAACTTTACGAGAGAATTGAAAGAGATATCAAAAAATAGTTTCCAGGAATATTTGCAACAGCTTTACGAACGTTGGCAAAACGGCAAATTGGACATTATCCAAGAAAATTACTTTGAAAGAAATATTATGTAAATATATAAAATGAGGTTACTTATTGCTGTAATAAACCATGAATTCCAAGAATTTTTTGAAGTTAATTGTGTATACTTATAAAACATTTCATGTTAATTAATACACTAAAATAAGATAAAAACAGCTAAATTTACAAAAATATGTTTAAGATAAGAGTTGCATGATCCGAACAAATAATGGTTGATATGTATGTATAATAGGTATTGCGAGTTTAATAAGTATAGATGATGTCGCCATGTGCTGGGCTAACTTTATATTTCGCGAACTTATTCCCTCTTCTCTTTTGCTACATGTGAGAACCGAATACCGAACAAGTACTTCGCCGGTACTTCTCGAACCGACTCACTGGCAAGCGTATCTTTCTATTGTATCTCTGTATAGTTAAATATATGTCATTACGTTATACTTCGAGTTTGGTATGCTCTACCTATTTGCTCCGATCTTCCACTAAATCCCGAGAAACACATTAATGGTAAAATCAATTGGAAAAATCAATTTTCGAAAAAATTGATTTTTCACATCAAAATCATTGCCATTTTTTTAAATGGAATGCTTGATTTTTATTTAACATAATTTTTTTAGTTATTCTATGTATAAAAATAGAGTTAGTTGCTTTTCAAAAAAAATCGTGCAATGTCCAACTACGTTTTTTTTTTTCAAACATCTATGTATTTTCTTTATACCAATTAATTTATCTCATTATTTTATGCATAAAAGTATTAAAGTACAATTATACTAAGAAATGAATAATTTACAACATATTTTATATTTTATGTCATAATATGACAACTAATAAAGTATAAAATATCACTATTAATTTTTTTATAATTCTACTTTAATATTTTTGCAGAATAACTAGAAAAATTAATGTATGTAAAAAATTATACAATTCTATTAAAAAAAATAATATCTGACATTGAAAAATCGAAACATTTTTTTCATAAGTTGATTCACTATTTTTACCATTAGCTGTTGCTCTTCAGATCATACAACTTTTGTCTTTGATATTTTTGTAAATCTAAAATTATACTGCTCGAAAAAATTATGGCATAGAAAAATTTTGTGCAAAAATTGGCTAACTTTGGCTGACGATAACTCTGCGAAAAATTATCATAGGATGATAGAACTTTTTTAAAATTAAATCTCTTGAAATCTCTAAGATACTATCTTGAAATTCTTTATCTTTTTAAGGTACAATGGGTCGATTTTAAATTTGACGCACTCCTGCTACTGTAAACTTTTAAATCTGAAAGCATTTTTGCCATATTTAAAATTTCAAAGTTTAACGGAATGCACGGACTTGCTAAAATTTTTCTCGGGAATGCCGTTTATAGCGTCGTAAAGCTTAAATCTTTCTCTTTAATTAAAAAAAAAAAACAAATTGCTACGATTTTTTTTACAAAGTTACAGCATTTTAAAGTAACCCTTGTATTTTTCTCATGTATGGCCAGCATTACCCGATTTATGTCCCATAGGAAGATTGGCAATCGACTTTTGCATATCGTGTGTATATATGTGTGTTTTACATATGCGCACAATGCAAAATCGCTATAAACGGAATTCCCGAGAAAAATTTTAGTCTTGCATTCCGTCAAACTTTGCAATTTTCAATATTGTCCTGAGGGCAAATACGTTTTCAGATTTAAGAGTTTACAGTAGCAGGAATCAAATTTAAAATCGACCCATAGTACCTAAAGTAGAAATTTCAAGCTTTAATTTAAAAAAAAGTTCATCCTACAATGATTTTTCGCGGAGTTATTGTCAGCCAAAGTTGCCAATTTTTGCCCAAAATTTTTTTGAGCAGTGTATTTCATGTTATTTCAGTGTATCAATTAAAATGAAACACTTTGTATGACACATGCGCGCTGCGCGCGCGCGTGTGTGTGTGTGCATGCGTGAGTGTGAGTGTGTGCGTATATATAATCAATGTGTATTGGCACCGCCAATTTTTTGGGAACACATTTATCCATTATTCTAATCGCTGGACGGATACCTGATAAGCTCTCATATCTACTCTTTCATTCTTAACTACTTAAGGTCTGTATTCTCATATACAAAAAGAGAGGAAGGCGTAAAAAGTAACGAGAGGATATTCAAGATAATGCTACTTAAAACGAAACAAGATTGAACCAATGAAAACGAGACGCAATGATGATGAGTCCAATTCGTTCTACGTACATGATGTAATTATTACAGACGACGGTCCGCCAAGCGCGCAGAAATGGTAATATAAAATTAAGTTGTGCCCTTGTCCATTAGACAGTTCGAACTTACGGTTCGTTAATTTTAAAATATTCCGAAAGAAAAGTCGGGTCTACACATAATTATGTTATGTCTTTTATTTTGTACTTACAGCAATTCAAATCAATATTAATTATAAAGTTCGCGCGCTTTCTCATTGCAGTCGTAATTTTTGTTTCACATTATCGGATTATCGATCATATTTGCTCTTGAATCGGGAGAAAATTACGCAAGTTTCTTCGGCCGCATTTTTTATACGTCTTACAGATCACTGTTGAGTCGGGAAACAACGCGTTCGCAGAAAGTTTGTTAGTCGTAGATTTACAACATTATAAGTATTTATCGTAGCTATTGTTGGAATCCCTTTTTTCTTTTTCTCTTTTTTTTATTAACTATCGATTATTATCATAAAGTTAAAGAACGTATTTTGACTGGTAGAAAGTGCAGGCAAGGAATATCATCACGGCGATGTAAAGCAGCTTCATCGCGGAGGTGGCCGTCGCGGAATTGCACAAATCGCTGCTGCAGATATGGCAGGACTCGATTACATCACGTCCTGGCTGTGTTATGGAATTACCGCACTGGCCGTCGACGACGTCAATTTCGTCATGATACGGAGTGGAGCATTGGCGTATGACAACTCGCTCGCCGTATTCTAAACACAAATTAATCGTTTAATAGCAATCGGGATTTTCGGGTCATTCGTGTCAAGTCCGCTTCGTATCAAAATAAAATTCTATTTATAGTTTCGTGTGCAATATGACAAAATGTTCGAAACAAATCAGATATATAAAACATTATATATACAAAACATTTTATACAGTATATACAATATACATATATAGCATCTACAGGTAGTTATTGTACCTACCATTTTTCATGGACAGAGCATATTGAACTGAATAAAAAATCCTTTACTATTTTGTGAGTTTTTTAATAATTAATGAAAAATTAATAAAGATTTGCGGAGTAGCGGCGTGTATCTGTGCATCTGTACAAGACATGGAAGCAGTCACGCCAGCGCAACTAAAAGCATTTATGAAAGAAGATTTCCAGTGCTGCTTTAGCAAGTACCAAGAACGATGAGATAAGTGTATTAGAAACGAGGGAGGAGTATTTCGAAGGGGACTAATTGTAATCTGTCTTTTAATATAATAAGTTTTTTTTATTTCAACATTCATCGTATTTTTTGATTACCTCTTGTATATATATATATATATACATATATACACGGAAAAAATTGCTGTGGATGTTACAACAATATTCTTTATGTTTAGAAAAGAAATTCATGTGAATTTAAGTTATATTAATGTTATATGGCATTCATCTGGTATGCTCATCAGTACGGTTGTCACAACCGTAGTGCTTAGAATAAATAACATTCGGTTAGAATATCTTCATATATGTGGTTGCTTCAATCGAAGCATTATTGTTATCTCTCTAATGTAATCTGCACAACAAATAATATGATTGAGAGAAATATATGATACAGCTACACGTCACAACATTGAGACTGAGAGTTCAGTTAACTATATAAGTCACTTCTAAAGTATTTTAATTCCTGTAACCCTTTTGAATTGATGGAAAATTATTACAATTATTACGTTGTGGCAACAGTCATTTATATATATATATATATATATATATACATATAAAAGAAATCTGCACATATATTTATCGATTGCAAATTATGATTACGATTTCTTAATTAAATCTTTTAAGTTAATCTCTTAAGCGATCAAAACTCGCCGAATGGAATTCTATTTGTAATTTTATATTAACATAAAATAATATTATATTATATAATATAAAGTAATATATATATATAAAGTATATAATATAAAAGCGGCGTCTACAATGGGCAGTGGCAGTAATAGATTAAGGAGTAACACGTTGGAGTAAGCTGGTTTTTTGGTATAATAGAGCGTAGAGCAAGTAAGCAAAATAGTTGAAATCCATGGAGACTTTAATCCTACAGTTTACTCCTAACGCTTACTCTTTAATCCATTACTGCTACTGCCCATTGTTGACGCCGCTAAATTACAAATAGAATTCCATTCGGCGAGTTTTGATCGCTTAAAAGATTGAATTAAAAGATTTAATTAAGAAATCGTAATCATAATTTGTAATCGATAAATATATGTACAGATTTCTTTTGTTTGTTATTTCATGCTATGCAACAAACGACAAGAGCAAACGGGAACTTCTCGGAAAGTCCTTCAATAACGCGTTATCGTTTCGGGGTCATCTTTTCTTGTGCGCCGACGAGCACAGACCCAACGTCTATTTAATAGCGCATTATTATTGTCGCTTACGTAATTTTTGCGTTCACGTGGCGGTCGCGCTCGCTATTTCATGCTGCAATGCCTCGTCACGCTAGAATTCCGTCGAATTGACACAGAATTCGACGTGCGGTTAGTACGTTCGATTTGCCGTGAAACCACGCAACATGACAGATTTAACAACGCGTGCGTAGGAGAGAAAGAGAACGAGAGAAACAAGAAGCGTATATTACCCTGGCCCGAAATTAATCACGATCTCATGGTGACTGTAACGACAATTTTTTTCTCGTAGGTGTGGCACCGGCCTTGTTTTAACATCCAATTATCATCGTTATTTCTATGCGCGCCGGCATGACTCAATCGCGACGCGTATTACCGTGCTCGTCGTCACAGTCTGAGGAGGGAAAAGGATACAACGCATTAAAAAGATGCGACTTCACAATGCGTCATCCTCCTACAAACGTGTACGTACTTCGGGCGGCGTGTACGCGCGGCGTATCTCGCGATGCTCGTGGAGCAGAATTTTTTGCCATTACGGTCATGCGGTAGCTTTTTTTCCGCGCTATCACGTAGTTAACGACTGAAAAATTAACACATACGCGAGGCAGATGGATATTAAAATGCGCGGAAACGAATGTTACCTTGGAATATTTGAACGTCATCAACATTCAGGTTTTATTAAACTCGTGACTTGTTAATACGTTGTAAAATTAAAAGATTGTTGAAATTGCCATAGATCGCTCGATAAATACATTGAAACATTTTTTAGTGCAAATTTACGCATTACATTATGATGTTATTTCTAATAAACGAGCATGGAACTGTACCTTTTCTGACGATTTTACGACAGATGGGTTTTGAAGAACCATAAGGACCTGGGTCACAAGGCTTTATATGGAATGCAGCCTGATGATCCGAAGTGTTCAGCGGGTCGTTACACAGGGCATTTACATTGGACGAGCATACCCAGCAGCGTAAGGCGGAACCTATTATAGAGCAGGACGAATAATTCATAAAATATGATTTTATTATTAAAGTGACAAGACACAATATAAATACGTTTAAACGTACAAAATATTTAACATTTACTTTACTACGTTTTCACATAGAGTTTATTTATATAGAATTATAAATTTACACATTCAGAACACCTTTATTTTCTAACGGCTTATTTTCTAAAATTATAATGGCAAATATTATTCCTTTTTACGTGCAAAAGAGTTCTTGAATATAATTATTTTTTCAAAATGTTGATGAAGTTAAATAGAAATTTTTACCATAAAACCTTTGTATTGTGATGTGTGTATATTATTCTTTTCTATGTAAATTTTGAATAATTTTGGACATACATCGAGAAAAATTGAAAGTCATTTTTCATAACAGGCAGTTTTACCCATTTGTGTTAGCATTAACTAAAAATTTCTGAATTTATCTATTTATCCTATTTCCAAAGTTTTGTTACAATTAAAATTTTTAGGTTTGCTAACTTTTCTTTAGTTATTTTTCATAATTTCTTTTAAAGATAAAATATAATATTTAAAAACAAATAATACAGCATATAAAATAAATATTAAGCCAAATTTAATAAAAATAGAGTTTTTAATCAAAACAATGATAATACAAAATCAGAAAAAAATATCAATTGAGGCACACATGCTCAATGTGCGAAACAACATTACATATCTAGTAAATTATAGAATATGCATTTGCGTTAAGATATATACGCGTAGATATATATATATATATTTTTTTTTTTTTAATGAAGTTTTTATATAAAATGCTGTTTGCAGTCGAGGCGTCCGCAGAATGTAAATTACGGAACTTTACAGGAATAAATCTAAATTGGAATCACCGAGGAAATACCTGCGCAATTTTATAAAGGAAAACAGGTGCGGGTATGATTAAGAAGTGATGTAATGCTGAGTAACCTGTGGTGGATATTAATGGTGCACGTCTGCAGTTCTACACACAATCAGGTTGTCGCCATTGTAAAAATGCATTGAGGCGCGATACAGCTTGTACGTAATTTCAAAGGAAATGTTATGAAATAAAAAAAATATATATATACATATATATATATATATGTATATATATATGTGTGTGTGTGTGTGTGTGTGTGTGTGTGTGTGTGTGGTACGTACGTAGCAATATATATATTGTTTGTATTATATAATTTATATATATATATATATATATATATATATGTATATGTATATGTAATTTTCAAGCCAACTATTACATTTTTTTAGAAATCTAGTCTATTTCCATGAAATCTGGATATTATACACACGCGCGCGCGCGCGCGCATCTAATTGCATTAGTGTGCATCAAATGTAGAAGTGACTCACTTCTACATTTGATATACTAACATAATTAAATATGACACACTGTATGTATATGAATATTCAATGTGGACGAAATGTTATGCAAGTTATTCCATTCTGGGCATTCTGACAGTACACGTACGGAACATTCTCTGTGATCAACTTTTTTTCTCTCTAACTTATCTAGTTAGGTCTCCTTGCTCTTACATCAAGGATGTGCGTGAGATATATTACGATTAGATAATGCAACGACGAGTTATCCTGTTTTTCTTGTTTACACTACCGACAATACCGACTCCTAAGCTCGTGCAAGGATTGCGATCATTATTAATTTGCATACTGATAACTGGATGTTTTAAAAATAAACTATAATACATTTCTAGGAAATTGTTAAATGTTTAAAAAACTCAGAAATTGTAAAATGATAAAAAAATTTAGAATTTACAGTGCGGAATACATAATATAATATAATTATATATATATATATTATAATAATAATTATAATATATGTAAAACACACACACACACACACACACACACACACACACACACTCGTTGTGTCTTAAAAGTTTCAAAACTTTTATCATTAATTATTAAAACTAATAAAACTCACTCTGTAAGAAATAATTATAAATTTTTATTTATAATTATTTAAAATATATCCCTTCCGAAGAAATACAATGTTTACAATGGTCGTATAGTTCTAGAAAACTCCGCTGAAAGTCTTTCTTTGAGATAGTCGAAATGCCTCGGTTGAAATCTTTTGAATATCCAAAATAGTGTCGAATTAATTGCTTTCTCTTCAGTTTTATTTTCAGTTTCGGGAACAAAAAATAGTCACATGGTGCCAAATCTGTTAATTATAGAGAATGATCAAGGACTAGAAATTTATTTGGACTAGTTTGTGTAAATAATACCACTAATACCGTCCGTACGAACTCAGTAAGCAAAAAACATTAGCTCAACATTTTGAAATATTGCTTTTATATGAATTTTATCAAATTCTTATATAATTATTTATAAATGTTTTAAAAATATTATAATCATAATATATTTTCGAATATTTAAAAAATGTTTTAAATATATAATTTAAAATATTTTATTTAAATAACATATGAATATATATTCCGACCGTCTATGTATAGCACAAATTAAATTGAGAGAAGGCCATACAATCATAGCAGGATCTTAGTGCTCCTAATATTTCTATGTGAATTTATATCCTGAGGTAATATTTTTCGCAGAAAATAATCTTTATATCACGTCGTAAGGTAGGGGGGAATTTAATTAGATGCCGATGAGCATCAGTATTTATTAAATTGTTTATTTAGTCAATTTAATAATCGTGATACTACTGTTCTGTCTCAAACAAAGAGCTGCGTTGAATCCGAAAATAACGGCACGCAAACTTTTCGTTGAAACTAGAATATATGTATGTAAAATCACATAGAAATA